CAACCTAATCGGTGTGCCAATTTTGAACATAATTTTCGTCGGAATGCCAAGAGTCCTTGGTAAATAGGATCGGGCTGCTCAAACCATACGGAGACAATATCCGCAATACGAGTATTAATTTCGACCCACACACTAAGAAACCAATAAATGCGATTAAATGGGTGAAAATATATGATATAATGAAATTTATTTAAATATAGATACATGTAGTTATCCTCGTTTTCGAATTCATTCACTAAGCTCAAGAGTCCACTGGTCTTTCCATATCCACTCACTGCTAATGCACCTGCATCGGCAACTACACCCACACGATCACTTGTATTAGCTAACTCGCCATTCTTGACGGATTTTCCCAATTTTTTTAATCGTTCAGGTGTGTAATTGACTCGAAATACTCCAACTTCATATGTATTCAACTTGAAGAAATCTCCCCCGGTTTCTGGTAATGTCAAGTCAGCTTCCTTTGCTGTAAGTACTTGAGATTTGATATTAGCAGGCGTAGATTTTCCTGTATTAATTCCGAGGGGTATCCACCAGATATGATTATCATCTTCTGCGGTAACATCGCCGGTAGAAAGAAATCGAGTTTGTTTGACGTGTATAGTATGCGGCCGAGGTTCAGTAACATTGAGCACTGGATACTATAACGAATTAAATTAAAGTGAAACACCGACACACATATATTTTATGTAACACATGATAAATGTAAAGTGTGAATGTACCCCAACTTTTCTAGTCCATCCAGTCATAAAATTACCAACATCGTGTCCACTTTCTTGCGATAAATTCTCCCATAAATCATCTGTGCTCGCATTTCCATACAAGTGAGCATTCAAATATCTTCGTACACCAGCTAAGAGAACCTCTACACCAAGATAAGAACTTAACATTCGAATAACAGAAGCACCCTTAAAATAACTTATAGCATCGAAAATTTGATGTATTTCACTGTTAACAGAGAGAAATTATTTAGTGATATAAGTTTTGTAAATTTTGAATAATTTTGATTTAGGGAATTATCAAAATCGAAAGATTACCTGGGATCATTTACAGGAACTTCAATAGGATGAGATGAACGAAGGGAATCGAGTTTGAGACCTTGTTGAAAACCCTCAACTACAAATCTAATTAGTGGAACACACTCATTATGTCAATTAATACTCTCAATTTTTATTCCACAATACGAGTTTCTTACTGTGTCCAAATATCCCAATCTGGAAAAATTTCATCAATCGCCAAGTAACCAACCCAAGTAGCAAATCCTTCGTTAAGCCAGAGATGATCCCACCTAAAATAAATATAATCAATTAATTTATTGGTAATAAATTGAATCATAAACTCGAATATAAAAATTAATTAATATTACCATTCCATAGTGACGAGATTTCCAAACCATTGATGAGCCAATTCGTGGGCCACAGTATAGGCCACCTTTTGCATAAATCGCGCATCAGATGCTTTCGGGTCGAAAAGAATTGCGGCAGTACGATACGTGACGAGACCCCAATTCTCCATAGCACCTGGTCAAAATACCAAAAATTAAAAAATTCGTCGTGTTATGCATGATTTTGGAAAACGGTTTAGTATCGAAAAACTATATACCTGCTTCAAAATCAGGAATTGCTACCATATCTAATTTCGGTAAGGGATATGGAATTTTAAAGACTAAATAAAAATCAAAAAATCATTAGATTAAATATCCATTTTAGATTAAAGATGCATAAAATATAAGATGATGTATTGTACTTCGAGAATAATGTTCAAGTGTTTTAGTTGCAACATCCAACGCGAATTCTCCTTGATTTTCTGACCCATTAATTGCGTAAACTCGGATGAGGACTTTTTCTTTATTATGTTCACCAGATGTATATTTCTCAATATAAGCTAAATCTCCAACAATGAATGCCACGAGCTTTAAAGAGATCATGAAATTAGCGCAAAGAATTGAGAATCAAATATTTGGAAACATCGAAGTGTAAGCATACATAAGTACTCATAATCGGCGTCTTTGCGAATTTCACTTCTTTCTTGTTATTTTCGACTGGTTTTTCAGAAACCACATTCATATTACTCAAAGCCACAAGATCGGATGGGACGATCAAAGTAATATCAAAAGTAGCTTTGATTGCTGGTTCATCCCAACAAGGAAAAGCACGACGGGCATCAGTAGGCTCGAATTGGGTGGTAGCTAAATATCTATCTCGAATAAATCAAAAGAAGATTAGTAAATAATCTCTGATAAATCAAGGATTAAGATTAAAATCACATACTTTTGATTCCCTGCAGCATCGGTGTAAGAACTACGATAAAAGCCACACATCTTATCATTTAGAATTCCTGTAAAATCGATGTGCAAAACAGCTGATGTGCCGGCTTGCACTTCACTCGGAAAAGTAAAAGTCACAGTCTGTTTTTCATTATCATAAATTATATCTGATGCATCGGTACTATAAATTTTGGAAAATCGATCATGAATTATGTGAATTTAATGGATAGCTTAGTCATGTATAGATTTTTTTGATACCTATCAAGTTTAGCAACTTGAACTTCAATTTGATGAACATTTAACGTGATTTGCTTTGTATTGTTATTGATATTTAGGCTGTTGTAAAATTATTATTAGTTCAGCAGGAATATTACATCAATTTATCTTTAAAATAAGTAATAATATGAATAGTCACTGTATAGCTTCGCTTCCTTTAAAGGTAAAGTCTTTCAAATTAGGGGTCAAAGTTACGTCATAATGAAACGGTTTCACAGTAGTAGGCAACGTTTGACGCTCAGTTTTACTGGTCATTTTGAAAAAATTACTATAATTCCCAAGAAAATAGGCAACTATAGAAATCAAGATCGGTATAAGATAGAAGTAAAGGGAACGAAAACTTTTTTCACTTGGTGGAACGGGAGTTTTCTTCCGAGAATCTTGCTTGGAAGACGCCAGTGTGGAAAAAGAATTAACAGTTATTCGAATTAGGTGCAATACTTGCATTAGATAATCTACCAATGTTCTGCATGGACATGGAACTTTCTCGAAGTTTTTCCATTGAAAAACAACATTGTTACAAAAAGTAAATTATTGATTGTAGTTCATTAAAAAAGTTTATTTGATTCATTTTTTTGGTCGACCCCTTTTAGCACCAGCTGACTTTGTCTCGGCTGTTTTGGTTTTCTTTGATTTTGTAGCTTTCTTTTTGTCATCTTCAGCCTATTATTAAATTATTTATTAAGGTGTGCAAGATCCAAAAATCTTCATATTCCTAATAACAAATAAAAATTACCTTGCGCTTAGATGGTGTATTTGAGGCGGATATTGTCGTGAAGAAGGTGTCTAGTCTGCCCTGTACCGCCGATTTGAGATGTTTCTCAAGTTTATCTGTACCTTTACGAACACGTTCCTCGCTAATTTATAAAGAATTAGATTAATAATGATCGCATAAACACTTGTAATTTAGTTAACTAGATAATTGATAACTCACTTGAACCCTTTCTCGTGAACCAGATAATTCACTATAGCTTCAACGTCAGGTGATCCCCATTTTAACTGAAGCATACAATAAAATGAATTTAGATGTGTATGTGTGTATATATATATATATATATAAAACTCATTATGCACTGCTTTTCCATACCTCAATTTCTTTTGGGTCTTTCACTTCTGGATTAAGAAATAATTGACGCACATCTTTAAATTGCCAATTCTCAGGGATAGGATACTTTTTGGTATCAATATTATTGATAATTTCCTCTAGAGATTTATATTTCTTTATGAATTCCAATGCACGATGCGGTCCGATACCTTTGATAGATTCACAGTAATCGCAACCCAAAAGAATGCACAGATCTATAAACTAAAAAATTTAAATTGAATTTATTTAGCATTAATTATACTTCCTGAAATTTTTAATCATTGTACCTCTTCCATTTTTAATCCAAGTTCCTCTAGTATTTTGTTTGTATGAATTTCATCAATTGGCATTTTTCTTGCTTCGCTAAATGTTAAATGACGTAAAAGTACTGGTGCTCCAAATGTCAATGTATCCATATCTTCGGATGCTGCAGCAAACACCTATCATATTATGCGTCAATAAATAGAAAGATGATGCAAAATACGTAAATATTCCAAAGTTCTTACCTTTCCTTCGCGCGCAAGAGCAGCACATTGTGCTTCGGCTTCACATGGTGCCTAATTATAAAATACTATGATATAAATTATATTTAAAAGTCGTAAAAAAAATGCCCATTTTTTATACCTCAACAACTGGAATGCCCATCATCTGCAAAAGCTTTTTACATTCTGAGTTATGTTGGGGAGTAACTCTAACCATACGGCGACTGAATTTGTCAATATCAGCGGAATTACCTGTTCATATAAAGATTTCATTAATGAATTAAAAGATGTGCTACAACTGATCGTCCCCAAAACTCGATTTTTAGATTCCTACCAGTTTCTTGCGCCTCCTCTAGACTCTTATTTGCCTCTTTTTTTCTCTCTAATCGTTTAGCAAGCTATAATTGACATATGAATGAATTATTTGTTGATTTAAGAAAATAAATATATTAGGTAGGGTTTTCCATGACAAAATTATGTAATATACCTCGCCGCTTTTTAAAGTCGGAGGTTTGCCATCAAACACGTAACAAGGCTTAATTCCATTTTCTACCATTCTTATTGTTCGATAAAACATACCCATCAAATGACTAATAATACGCATAAAATGTATGAAAAATTAATTAGATAGTCCACTATACCACTATTGGAGCTCAATGCGCGAATTAACGAAAAAAATACCTAGTCGTTTCACCAGCCTCATTCACTAGTTGCTGACCTTCCGACCTCACAGCTATCAGAAATTGGTATAAAGACATTGACGCATCGATGGCGACCTTACGCCCAAAATAATTTTTAATTTCGTTTGCTTTTATGGCGTGTGGTGCGTTATCACCAATTAGCTTGTGCAATCCATGAATACCCATTTTAAATGGTAATTTATCTGAAACTCTGAAACTAGTAGAGACGCGTTCTTGCAAGATTGTCAAAGCTGCTCCATTTTAATGATATCCCGTCGCACAAACACGTGATTCAATTCAATCCAAATAGACGATTCTAGAAATGACGTTAAATGATATTTTTTAAGAATTATGACCTTTAAACAAACTCAAGAATTTGAAAATGAAATTGAAAAATGTCTCGAGCTTCTCAGCCCTTCTACCTCTGACGAGGAAAAATTTGTGGCCCTCATGTTATTACCACGATTTCTCAAGCAGGACCCGAATAACGTCAAAGTAGTTTTTGAAGCCATGGACTTCAAGTTCCTGGAAAGACTTTTAAGAACGAGTATGGATTTTTAGAAATTACGCGTTATGTTTTAATTTTTCAATTATTAGAATTGAATAAATATTCTAATTTTCACTTATCGCAAGAAAGCTCAACGACCACGGAAGTATCCGAAACAACTTTAAAAGCGATAGCTGTTCAGATATTATATTGTTTTTGTGGTTTGGATGAACTGCTATCAAAAAAACAATTGCTTGCACGAATTCCTTCGCTAGCAAACTCGATAGCACCGAAGTAGGTAAAGAACCTACCTTAGTTAACCATAATAATAAGCTTGATTTAATTGAATTCAAAGTTAATACATCATTTTAAAACCATATAGTGATAATAATGAAATGACAAAAGATATCTTGAAGATATTTATGAGATTATCTTCAACGCAAGATGCATTGATTCGAATGACACAAATGGAAACGCTTTCCAAAATACTTTTATGCGTAACTTCTAGCCAGGATGGTATGTATCTGGTGTTTTATTATTTATTAAATAACGTATAGTTGATTTATTTTAATTTATTAGAGGAAGTGAAAAGCTTGGGGTTGCAGGTTATTCGTCATATTGCGCACGGTATATTTACTATCTTGACCAAAGAAGAAACTTTCCTAAACACAATTTCGCTGGAGGATGCTTTGTCCTCGATACTTTTTGCGCTATCATCTTCATTTCGTGTTAATCAGAGCCAACTGAAATTTGATATTCTTGAAGCACTTACTGAGATTTTTTCTAATTTTTCTGAAAAGGTGAAATAAATTTTTGCGTAAATTTGTCTTGATAATCAAAAACTAAAGATCAAATTTCATTCCATATAGGGGAAAATTAATTTTAAACCACAACAATCAACTATCTGGCTACAAAACATGCGATTTGGATTGCGTGAAATCTTGAGCAGTAGAATTGGTAAAAATTCAAATCTTTATATTATACATGGATTCGAGTGAATCAAAATAAACGAAATAATTTCATTTTCATTATTTTAGGCACGCAACAACGTGACAAAGCACTCTCGCTTATCCATCATTTGTTATTTCATTTTGGTGCTGAATGGCTATTTTCATCACCTGAAAAACCAGCCGACAAAGAAAGCAAAGACACGAAATTTGGTGCATTGGTTGTCCAGTTGGCTTGTGTAGAGATTCGCTTAATTTTAGATGAACTAGCGGAACAACAATCAAAAAATAACAAAGATATAAACTCGCGACATGAGCAAATATTACCAGCCTGTTATTTTATTTTGGAGAAAACCATCGAATATCTATCACAAATATCTGAAGGTGATAATGACGAGAGTGCAATGGCAACATTTGTTAGTAATTTTGATCCTGATCTGTTACTGCGTCTGCGGAGCGTTATGACAGAAACATTCCGCATAATTATCGAGTATCTATTAGATGTCAAGGTGAAAATTGATATTTTATTATATTCATTATTTCTCGCAGGTTTCTTACATAAAACATGCATAATTAGAATGGCCTGGTCTCTATCGAAGAGGCTGCACATGATTCAACGATTATTGCTAGCATTCGAGTACTGTCAGCTTGGTTGTCCGAAGAAAATTCATTAGAAAAAGAAGTTTGTTCAATAATACCTTTGCTTATCGATTTATCTCGATATAGGTAAAATATAGTATCTACTTCAAATTGCTTGTATAACTAATCAAAATATTAATCGTTAAAATTACAATGCAGATTAAAAAATGACATGGATTCAAATCTATTAAATATCCTCATACCTGCTTTCTTGAATCTCACATCACAAGATGCTCCGCGTGAAACATTTATCGATCACAATGGACAGGAAATTCTGTTCACTCATATAACCAAAACTTGGACAAATTCTTCGATCAATGAATTTAATTCCATATCGGAGACAAACTATAACGACCTTCTTGGTTCACTGCAAATTTTACTGAATCTTCTTGTCTCTGAAAAAGAGAATTTTATCGCACCGAATGAAAATGAACTCTGGAAAATCGTCAAAATTGGGGAACAAATTGCTCAAGTTTTCGGTAGTTTTTTTAATCCTTTTTAGTGAGATATCTTATTATATCGATTAATGAAAATATTTCGTGCATATTAGGCTCGAGATTAAAGTCAGAAGATTATCCTTCATCTATGGCAAATCAAATGATCCTTGTGGCAAATACACTGTTATTCTGCCTTTTGGTGATCTCATCAACTGAACAATTGGACTCGACCGAGAGCGCAACAGCAGAAAATATAACCCGACTTGCTGTTAATTTCTATCAAGACAAAAAGAAATTAATGTCCGAACCGAGTATTAGGAGACAAATTGAGGAGTTAATCTTCTTGGGTGAAAGGATTTTAAAGTGATGTTTGTCACTCCAATGTTATATTGTTCACAATGTAATTATCATTTTATTGAATTTTGATTAAATTTGCCTCTTCACATGTAATGATACGTTGTGCCTCAAATCAAAATGTATATCATTTACCCGCACTAACCTATGTCTACGCTTACAATTCTGGTTCGAATTTTCCAAAATAAAAATTATAAATACAGTAGTATATATATCACTCAAAATTTATCCGTCCAGATTAAAAAGAAATTATCTCCCATTTTTTAATAAAGATTTGGCATTCTACCGTTATTTTGATGATAATCATTAGATGGTGAAACTGCTCTTGTGTATATAGGAGGTGATGTTTGTGAAGAACCAACACCTGCATAAGACGACGGGGGGCTATAAGGAGGTGTCGTGGTGGGAGGTGAATAGGAAGAGGGTTGAGGTTGTTGATTATTAGTTGGTCCATTATACGGAGTGGGGTCTACCCAATTTGAACTGTGTTGTGTTACGGGAACTCTGTAAGCTGCAACGTTCGAATGATCTTGAGAGGGAAGCTTTTTTCGAAGTGGAGCTCGTTGTTTAATGCATGAATAACAGCATTGAAGTAGACTAGAATAGAAAAAAACATTAGATGATAGCATTATGATCAAATTCGTCGAGATAAAAAGCAATATAAAATAAATAACAATCAATTACCAGCAAAGTATTATAGCTCCCAAAATACTAGCAACAGGAATAACTATGTTTTTGTTCTGATTTATCCAGCTGGTTATCGTATTTCCTATTCCATAGAAAAAATACGACATTTACACGATATTATTGGTAATTTTATCATATATACTATTAACGTTTGTGTAATGAATATAGTAGATCTCACCTATAGAGCCCGATTGACACGATCCTTGATAGCATTTTCCCCCGTACCCACATGGCGTGCCATCAACAAATGTTCCACTTAATTCAAGACAAGAATGACTATCGCTTGGATTAGCACAACTTATTGAACATCCAAGGTCAGGTATAATTGTGCAAGCTGATGTGATACCCGCTCGAGAACCTCGAGCAACGCATTGGGCATCACGCGAAGTACATTGTCCTCCAGCACAAGCTAATCCATTATTGCCGCAAGAAGTTCCGTCGGCAATATGAACATCAGGCGGACAATCAATAGATGTTCCGTTGCATACTTCAGCCACATCACAATTCGAAACTGCCGGTCTGCATACTGTGCCAGCAGCTCGCGTAGTACAATTCTGACAGCATAAATCATTTCGATCACTAAAAGTATGAGAATAACAAATGAGAATTTATATTACCTAAAGGTAAGAAAAGAATCTATGTATAGAGAAAGATCCGGTACTCACTCGCATACAGCGCCTGGTTTAAATTTACACGTACTGCCATTACAACAAGGATCATTTGCACATTCTGTATCTGTTCCACAATCACAATCTTCACCTACTTCTTTTATTCCATTACCGCACATTGCTGGACTTAAGATTGTTTTAGTTCCCGGATCTATAATTTTTAAACATTAGATTCCATTAAAGAATAACGAAAAAAAATTCGATTGTAATTTATTAATACCTCCAAGACAGGTTCCCAACATTGGATATGAAGAACATATATCGTTAATAGAGCATGGACTATATCACAATGTGTAGATGAGATGATTAACCTCATAAAAATCAACGATATCTCATAAGGTCAACTATTTATTTACCTAAATGCATCTGTAGCACTATTATCGGTAGGATTCATTATGTATTGTCCATTAGCATCGCATACAGTTGAGCTCAACGGACAACATTGACAACCGACACCGCAAGGACAAGTTTCTGCTATGCAATCATGAATAGCACCTAATAAAAGCAAGATAAATTACTAAAATTGGGGATATAATGGAAGGAAGCAAAGCAGTTCTATCCTTACCAAAACCATGTCCAACTTCATGAGCAACTATTTTCCATTCATCTTTTGCTGCTGTTGAAACTCCCGTGCTTGAGACGTAAGCTACACCAGTTCCTAAAACACAAACATCAATAATGAATTAATTTTCGATGTAAAAGGGATCAGAAATATCTTTATATATTTATTTACCATTATCTTTTTGTGTGACTGCTGTTTGACATAATTGACCTAACCAAGCAACACCTACTTTTGAGCCAGTACTACAAAGACATGAATATTTAATAAAATTATAATAATAATATCCAAACGCAATTAATGATTGTGTACACTTACTTGCATGTAGTAAGTAAATGCCATAATCCGGTGCCATCATTTCCCTTTGATCCCCTCCAATAACTAAAATCGCTTAATCGATCATCAATGGTATAAGAATCTGAACATGCTCTATTCCACGTAACATTTGGATCAGGACTAGAAGGGCATGTCAAGTCTTGAATTTCAAGCGCAATAAGACCAAGACTAATATTAAAGGTGCTTTCGTATAAGCCCGATGCAGTATTCCAATCGTTAAGTATTTGCATGCGAGATGCATCTTGCGATCCATACTGCTTAACTAATGGAAAACAAACATTTTCGAATCAATCATTTTCATTCTTTGATCTCGTAGTTATATATTTCATTAAATTACCATAAGTACAATCAGCCGCAGCACCCTAGGAAACAAATAAAAGATTGAGAAATTTTAACGACCTCTTAATTCGATAAAATATTCGAAATACAATTACACACCATATAATTGATTTTACGAGCCGTAGGACATCCTGTTGTATCCCTCTTTGTAAGTTTCCTAGATTCGTTTGATGTTCGACTGAAACGAATACCTGCAAATTCTAAATTCCAAGAATTTTCTTCGCTTGACAATATTTGTTCTGGATTATATCGAAATGCCCATTCTTCACGCATCTTGCGAGATTCATTATTAGGATCAACATTGAAAGGTAGGTCATCTGCGGCACAAACTTGTACTTGAGGATTGGTTGATGTATCCGCTCGTTTACTTAGTTTAGAATGTTTTAAATCAGAGTCACGATAAATAACCATGGTAGCAGAACGATGAGATTGATGTCGAGCTGATGGATTAGGAATTTCGGGATCCTCCGGATATTGAATCAAACGAAAATTTTTTATCGATTTTATATGGTATAAATCATTTTTATATGAAAAAGTCCCTTCAAAAGTTGGATGGTGAGTATTGGTACTAAAGAATACGTGATTTTAGATGGTATTATTCATGACTAATAAACTACACGTATTCATTTCAATTGATCTGTAACATACCCATATTCAGATAAACTAATGATCAATCATAAAAAAGCAGAATAGGTTAATAAACGACTTGCGAGAAAAAACTGCAAAGGATAATAAATCTAGAGGACAAATTGATTGCAAACTTAATGGCATAATGGATATATGCATCCCCAATTGAGGATAATCAAATCATTACTTTTGGTAGTCAATTTGCATTCTTTTCGTCCCGATTTAATTAAAATCGAATGGAATTTGAATGCCTACTTTCCGTCATCGAGGACGTGGATCCTCGCCCAGCCTAACACACCAGGCGTATATGCAAGTTCCTCAAACAATGAGCGTCTTTTCAAACCGACTATGTCCTCAACAAGTCGTTTTTCTGTAGAATCAATACCTAACACTACCCCTTTATATAATCGATGATCTTCGGGTAATAGTGGGCTAATTGTTTTAGTATTATTTGAATGATATATCGTGATCTTAGCTTCCGAATGATATAGTTCTAGATTCGGTTCAAGATGTAAATGAAATGTTTGGTTGAACGCGACAAATTGTACGCGCATAGAGTCATCGTGTCTTAATGATGGTTTGTCTTTTACAGGATCTCTGTGTGAAAATGAAGCTGCGTTATGAATTTCAAATCTATCCCTGGGTAATCTTTCTATTATAGGATTACTGACAAACTCCAAATAAGTCAAGGGTTTAGACGCAATACTATGCGCTGATAAAAATAACGATTTCGTAAGTAAACGTTTCTAGATCAATTTTCGAATCTAATGATAATAATACCTTGCACGCATATCTGTATGAACGCGAAACTTAATAACCATACCAGTAATAAATGAGGAGGATTAAACCCCTCCATGTTAAAAAGTAAGATTGATAAAGATTTATCCTTTATTTTTCTCTCGCTTTGATATTTAAAGTTAAAAATTGCATAAATTCCATTCTTTATTAAATCACTATAGAGAGTTAAGATCCTTCCTTTTTAGTGGAACCTTCGGCGTCTATCGCTATTATCGCCATCTCATTGGACGATATTTAAATAGGTTCTCATTCTGGCTTGCACGGCCACATCTTTTAGTCGATTCATTTTACATGCACATGTTCAATAACATTTTGTTTACATGTATGTGATAGGTGTTACCTGTACATTTAATTTTTTGCAAAGCCAATAATTTTTATGGAATATAGAGAACCTTTTATATTGAAATTTTTCGTTCCTTCTTTATAACATCCGCTTCTGTTTCGAATATGGCATGTTCAATCAAAATATACTGTGACAGCATCTTTGCTTTAGTTGCATCGTCTAATTTTATCTTTTGTTATTTACCATAAAGGATCCTTTGATTTCCATATCAATTTACCTGTCAATTTTCAGTTTCTTTGTTTTTGTACTCTTGATGGGTCCTTCGAACAGATTCAGGTGTGTTTTCTATTGATGGAGAAAAACAACAAAAGAAACACTTGAAAAAGTATATTTTTTGTAATTTAAGACATGGACCTATAGGGACATTACACAGATTCTTGACTGTTACTCTGCTTGGATGGATATTGTAAGTTCAATGCTAAATCTAATTTTCGAAATTTCGTTCGTTAATACAGTTAAATTTATCTTTCATAAATAGGAATGCCAGTAAATGCTTTTGTGGAAATCGTTTATCAGCAAAATTAGATGGTGTGTATCGATATTTTATGGAAGAGAAGAATCCAGCATTACAGGTAAAATTTATATTTCGATATTCAAGTATTAATTTATTTAATCAACGATTATTTAATGCATTCGGAAAATTCAGATTGTATATTTGACATTATTGACGAGTGCGATCTATGTATTTAAAATAACTGGATGGGAACAAATTCCCGGGCCTTATCTTTCTCGAGTGCATTTGTACGTATGTGTCAAGAAAGTTCATCCTTTCATGAATCGTGAATTTGTATTATTAATTTCTAATAATCCTAATTAAAATGATTTGGTTAGAATTTTAGTACCGTTAGTTATCGTTTTCACTTATTTCTCTCTATTTCTCGCAAGTTGGAGTGATCCCGGCAGAATTACGCGAGAAAATGCGATTAAAGCCTGTAAAATATTCGAATATGATTTCTTATTGTTTGAACCAAGACCTTGCAGGACTTGTCTAATTCAAAAGTAAGATATCTACTTTTTCTTTGAAGGATGAGTTGATGGAGTTTTAATAAATTATAATTTTTCTTTAGACCCGCTCGCTCAAAACATTGTTCTCTGTGTAAGATGTGCGTGGCAAAATCTGATCATCATTGTAAGTGTTATTTAATTTGAGTATCACATCTATATCTAAAAGACTGAATAATAATCATGTTGAATTATCAGGTGCGTGGATTAATAACTGTGTTGGATTAAGAAATCATCGTTTTTTCATACTTTTCCTTTACGCAACAATACAAATTTGCTTTTATGGCACATATTTAATTACCTGGATTTTCTTTGGCATTGCCAAGCAAAAAAACCTAAGTGCCGCTTTTATTTACGATAATATAACCGGAAGAAGAGTACCGATAACTTTCTATCAAACAGTATTGGTAAGTCATTATATCATAGGCCGAGAATTGAGCAGACTTCGCTCTAAAAATTATTAATCGATCCTCATGAATTTCTCTTGTTATATAGTATTTAATTCATCAAGAACGTTTACTTGGATCATTGGGGATTTTTGCATTCCTTGTTGGATTAGTTGTATTTGTATTTTTATGTTATCAACTGCATCTTATTTATTGTGGCATTACTACCAACGAAGGATTTAAATGGGAGGATTTAGAGGAGATAATATTGGCGGGTGAACTTTATTATTACGAGAAAGAATTGAATCAAGCTGACGATGATAACGGGAAAAATAAAAAGTCAAAAAGGAAATCGATAATGGTTTATTGGTCAGAAACAGCAGAACAACGAAGAGAAAGATTAAGTAAAAAAACTATACAAGACAAAGAATCACCTGAGGGAACTCAAGTGCGTACTTTACAAGAAGTAAAAAATATTTATGATGCGGGATTTATAGGAAACTTTAAACAAATATTTTTCCCCGCCTCTTTAGATTAATTAATATATTTATTCTCGCTACTTAATATTATAATTCAAATTTAAACGGTATATATTTTATGAAGTGTCCATTTAAAGAAATTTATTTTTATTAATATATAAAATCATAAACCCAGCTGACTTGATTTGTACATTAGCTATAAATGGAAAAGTTGATTGGCCAAATAAAAACACGTAAATAACGCGCGTCTTTGATAATATGCCCCACATATAGGATTTACTGAAAAATTATGCGTACTGTCGAGGTCAAACAATCTCAAAGTACGGGTCTTACTTCAATGGATATGATCTTGGAATTTGCCAGGGGACTTGGATATACAGAGGTTAATAGTTTAAAGAAACATATAATGTACACATTAATTCTAAACATGAAATATGTTTCAATAAGGTTTCTTCAGCACCCACTCTACAGACTACATCTTTGCTTGAATTGATGGATCTTTTGGATGAATTGATGGCGTTACAAGACAAAATAAATGGAGTGAGTCAACGAATTAATAAGAATGTGAATAATCAAAAAAAGCAATTGTACCAAATTTCACTCATTATTTAAATGATACCAAAGCTTCAAGAGGATATCACAAAGATCAAAGATGTTCGAGAAACCTATGATATTGTAAATTCAGCAGAATTAGGTATGAACGACCTAATGATCAATTTGCATTTTCTCTCCGCTCAATAGTTAAGGTTTTTATTAAACTCCATAAATAGAGAAAAAAATTAAAATTCTTGAAACTTTAAGCAGTCATATACAGTCTATACTTTCCAACAAACAACTACTGATGATGCGTTTCAAGAATCCTTATGTTGGCGAACATATAAATATCGAACCAAAATATCATAAGTAAGAAATTAAATATAATTATATAGAATTTCCACGGATGATGGTTCCCTACAATTCTATCTTCTAGGGAATTGGCGGAGCTGCTCCCAACAATTATACAAAGCATCGCATCTCTCCCAAAAGATATGGAGAGTGCAAAATGGGTTGATGAGAATCAACAAATTATTGTTGATGAAAGGAAACTAGTAAGTCATGATATATATATATATATATATATATATACTTTCCTTATTTTTGCCTTCAGCGTTTTTAATTAAATTTTATAATATGCTTGGAAAGAACAAACAACTTTCATCAACTGCCTCGATTATTGCGATGTATGGTAATTATGCAGATTGTCTTGATAGAATTCGAATGATCGTCAAAGAGATGCAAGAAAAAGTGTAAAGGGAAAGGGAAAATTAATTAAAATTCTATAATCATTTCAAGTTTCTACACATCTTTTTCTTAATATAATATATTTTATTTCTGCATCTGGAAAATCATTGAGAATTATCTACTTGATAATATTATGGACCACAATATAAAAGCATCCTGGCTTCATTGTTATTTAATGAAATAAAAAAATTCCTTAAGCAATCTTGTTTGTTTATTTAGCAAGTTCTTATCCTATTACTATTGTGCTATTTATTTATGTCATAGTATCTTTTCAGAGGTTAGTCTTAAGCGATATATTCAAACCTCGTTATAGTTAAGCGAAAAATCTTCACCATAGTCTTATACAATTCATTGAAGTAATGACCCTGAGAATTTCACTAATAATGGTAAAACCGTTAATAAACCCGGTAAATCTGTATACTCTTAAAGGTTAGATCCCTCCTTAAATCTTGAGGCTACCGAGTGGCTGGTGGTCATGTCCACCACACAATATAAACTTGGTATAAATCGCGTTAAGGCATGATATATGTATATTTATATTTATATATCTTGGCAAGAACTTGCGAAGCCATTATACATAAACAAGAAAATTCTTACAGAACCGCCAAGGCCAAGTAACTAAAAATACATAGCCACAGTTTTGCGGCGAGAAAAAGTATCAACTTCATTCTGTGCAAATAAAGAAAGAGATGATCACGCGATCGCCGAGAAACTATGACATAAATGGTCTCACATACATGGCCAGTTTTTTTATTATGTGCAACTATTAAAAAAGGACATATTTCGATTCTTAACTTATAAGCTATCCCCCTATACCAAAAAACTAAATCATCAATAAGAAACATGGTATACCTTGGACGCGAAGCAACACCCGGTACAATATTGGCATTTAGCGCATTATTTTGCTTAGTTTTAGTGAATATAAGTGTGTCAATTACGCACGGAATATATTTCATTAATGCAGTTCTTGATAATGGAGATTCCATTCAGGTTGGATTATGGGGCTGGTGTGCAAGTTCTCAAGGGACTGTGAGCTGCTCGCAGCCTAAACCCGGATTTAAAATAGGTAAGTGTTTTTCCTTTTCGATTATGAAGTACTGCTTTTAGCGAGAGGTTCTAAATTTTTTGTTCGCATACAGATTCTGGCGATTTGCCTTTCAATGACGTTGATGTGGGTATACTTGGTCAAGGTATAGGGTCCGCATTAGGATATTTGGCTCTGACTAATGCTATTGGTAAGTCAATTTACAACACCTGAATGTTCATTCTTGTTAAAAATTATTGTTTAATCAAAATTTTTATTATAGCCGGTGTCTTTGCATTGTGTATGACAATCATGGGCTGTATAGGACATTTTCATTCACAAAGAAACGGAAGAATCCTAATAAAAACGGCAAAATTCGCGATAATTGTCATAATAATGACAGTACTAGCGTTCGTATTTGACGTCATACTATTTGAAATCGGGAGACAAGCCATTAACAAAACCCGGGGCATTCACGCGTCATTGTCGAACGCGTTCTGGATGATGGTCGCCGCGCTGTCTTTTGAGGCTGCTTCAATGCTGACTTTCTTTGTGGGACATCGATTCATTGTCGTCCGAATGAAAAAAGCGGAAGAGATTAAACAGAACCCGGAAATGAGTGGAGAAGCATATTTGGAACAGAAACGTAAAGAGGAGGAAGAAATTAACCAGACGAATGCGAATAGACCTGTTGCACAGTATGCAATATATGAACAAGAAGTGATTGTGAAAGATGAACTCAAAGACGATAATAATTATAATAATTATAATAATAATAATAATAATAAAAATCCAGAACTAGAAGACGATGGTGCATCTACCACGATACCTTCAAAACGATACAATAACAATCAATCACAAACTCATCAATATATTCCACCACCACAACAATTAGAAACTCAACCATTACTACGACATGATACAACTGCCGGTAGACCTTTACCAATTCCACCAACATCAAATCCACCTTTATCGGCTGGATCTCTCTCATTAACACAAAATGAAAAACATAGCACCGCGTTTCCTCCGCATCCTCCCGTTCCTCCTATTCCCCCTCAATATTATCCAACTTCAGGATCTACATCCCCTTATACATCTCCTTACACATCCCCTCCTTTTGGTCCTACACAAGCTCATCATTATCCAATGCCAATGCCCATGCCCATAAATTCCACCACTCAACTAATACAAAATTATCCAACACAACAAGAACATTCATATTATAATAGTAATATTTATACAGGACCCCAACCATCACAGCCACAAGCACAACCACCCTATTATCAATCGCAGCAAGGACAGAGATTTGATTCTCACTCGAGAGCAATGAGCGAAATGACCCCGCAACGACAACAATCTAGTGATCATGAGAAGGGTCACACAACTGGATGGTGATGGCCGATTTCGCGTATTAATCCATTAAAATAATTTTTTGTATCGCTTTCACGCACGCGACGACAATATTATCATCGTTACATGCATAGATTTTTAATAGTATTTATTAAAATAGTATGTTACTAAAATAGAGAAGAGAATACGAATCAAAACTAAAAACAGTAAATAAAATCTCATCACAGAGAATAATCATTCGTTCCCGCTTGCATGTTTTTTTTGTATGTACGCAAATTGTATGCATTGTGAATCAGGCCCCTGCGTGTCATCAAATAAAAGTCATCACTTCAACTCCAACTTTAAAAATTCATCACCACACACAAAAGCTACACAACCGTTCCTTTCCCTACCACTAACCCACACTCACTCTTTTTACCCGCTTTTTGAATAGTCACTCTTAAAAAACTTAAAAAACAACCACTCTTTTCCCTTCTAACTCGCAATTTAAAAGTTACTCGCGACCGCCTGCTGTATAAGTCTTAAACATATCATATAAACGCTAATCATGACGCGGTAATGATTTTGGATTCGTCACGCGACTTCATTACTTTTATTAAACTTTGTCGCATGCAACTCTAATTAGGAACCAGCATTACGAAGACGACACTGCACCAACTCAATGTCTTCCCGATGCGTTTCCCTTTTCCCTAAAATATAGTTTTTTCTGCACTTGGTAGGTGTATTACGAGATATTTTATATGTTATGCAGTAATTATTTGATTTTGGACGCGTTTGACAACCTGGGGTCGGTTAAAATATTGATTAAATCTTGCTTTTAATGGGTGATCGATCATTTTCTAATAGTAAAATTTTCGCTAATAAAATTCTTTAAGTCTTCCTCTAGAAGAAGCTCTCACAACCGTGCCTCCTAAACCAACGCCACCAGTACAACAGACACCATGGTATGCTCGTAATTTTTTCGGTAAACGTAAAACTGCCACCGCTGATGCTAGACACGCTGATGATATTGTATCGCCTAATGCTTCCGTACCCTCTGATGCTCTCGGAATTCATGAGGATCCTGAAACAAAACGAAATAATTCATTACCATTTGATGATTCTTTGATAGTGTTTGTTTTGGGTAAGACCATCAAATTAAGTTTTTTTTTCTGCGTTTAATTTTCCAGATTCAAAATTAATAAAATAATAATTGTTTTTTTGAAGGTGGTCCTGGATCGGGAAAAGGTATATTGATCGATGTGACTCCTTTTTTTACAAAAATACATTTAGTGGATTTATTTATTATTGGATGATTTAATGAATATTAGGCACTCAGTGTGAGCAACTTGAGCAGATGTATGGTCTAGTTCATATTTCAACCGGTGATTTGTTACGGCAAGAAGTAGCAAACAACACAGAAATTGGTCAAGAGATAAAAAATGCTATGGAGGAAGGAAAAATGGTTTCCAATGTAGGGAGATAATTTGCGAATTCCATTCTATATGAATTATTTAAATTAATAATTATACAATGCAATTTAGGATGTAACAACAAAACTATTATTACAAGCAATGAAAGCTGCGAGTCAAGATGCCACTGGATTTCTAATTGACGGTTTCCCAAGGTAGAATTTGATTATAATTATTTAATCAAGATACAAATAAATTTAAATCTTTACATATATTCTAGAACAATGGATCAAGCTATAGAATTCGAAAATAATGTAAGAGAGATTTTTTTCTTTGCTTGCATCATTGGGAAACTTTTTTTTGATATCATTAATTGATTTATAATTTCTTCCTTAGATTGGTAGTTGCACATTTGTGTTGTATTATGAGTGTCCCACACAAGTTCTCATAAATCGTCTAGTTAAGCGTGGAGAGACGAGTGGTCGAATGGATGACAACCTAACAAGTATTGAGAAGTACGTGAAGCTTTTATAGAGATATTTTGATGTCAGTTTCAGAATCATTAATCGAATGTTGATTAAATTAGACGTATTCAAGTTTTTGAGAAGACTAGCTTGCCGGTAATTGAATATTATCTGGAAGATGGACGAGTTCAAAAAGTATTTACTTTTATTTTTTTTTTGGCATCTTAATAATATGATTACTCAAATAATCATAAATAATCAATAACCCTAGGTAAACGGAGATGCTCCTATTGAAGAAGTAACCGCGCAAACGTGTTCAATTTTCGATTGGGTATTCACTGGTGGAACTACTGACGCATGTGTCGAAGAAAGTACGAAAAACATCGAGGTCGCTTAATTCACTTTCTTTTAACTGGGATGGAGGGCGGGAAGGAAATTAGCAATAAGATACAGGATTGTTCCTTTTTTCACACTGTTATATGTATTATTTATTTTGTATTCTAAATTATTTGAAATTGTAATAACATATTCATTATCATCATCATCATCATCATCATCATCATTATCATCATCATCATCATCATCATCATCATCATTATCATCATCATCATCATCATCATCATCATCATCATCATCATCACCATTATCATCATCATCATCATCATCATCATCATCATCAGCATCAGCATCATTATCATTATCATTATCATTATCATTATCATCATCATCAGCAGCAGCAGCAGTAGCAGCAGTATCATCATCATCACCATCATCATCATCATCATCATCATCATAATATGCATAATATTTTAGAATTAATGTAGTACATACATTCATTTATTTCATTGTACAGTTTAATTTTGAAATTTTTGACTAATATAAAGTAAAATATTATGTGTTGCATATTATTATTAATATTTATAATGAACAATTCATTTCTTTTTGTGTATTTATATAATAAGTGAGTAAATCAAGAATAATATAATTAAATAAAATATATTTAAAAAAAAAGAAATAATGCAAAAAGTCTTAATTATTTTAATTTCAAAATTATAAATTTTATTAGTAATGTTATTTATTTAATAAGTATTATTTATATTTATATTTTTATTTTAAATTAATAAATTTTGAAAATTAAAATAATTAATTAATTAAGACTTTCTGTATTGTATAAAAATTAATTATAATTTTTTATTAAGAAAAAATTTTAATTAAATTTCTTAATATATTATTATAATATAAATTTTTTTGTATTCTTATTAAATGATTCATATTTATTATTTTATTAATTTTATATTTTTATTTTTATTGAATAATTATTTAATTAGATAATAATTAAGATAATATTATTAATAAATATTTATAAATAATTAAATAAATATTATAAATTATAGCATAATTATTATTATTCTAGCAAAAACTAACTTAATTATCATAATTAAATTAGTAATTAGATTATAATAAAAATATTATAATATTATAATAAAAATAAAAATATTTTATATATTTCTAAAAAAATAATAATAAAAATATAATATTATAAAATAATAATCTTTATTAATAATATCTTTATAAATTTAATATTTAGCTAATCATATTATAAATATATTCTTATTAACTATTTTTAGTTTTATTATAATTATAATTTAATATCTATTTTATTAAATTTTTTAATTATATTAATTTTTTTTATTTAAAATTATTAATATATTTATTATATCTTATTTTGACTAAATATTATATATAAAATTATTAATTTATTATAAATAATTTTTTTAAAAAATATTAAAAATAATAATAATATTAAATATTAAATCTGATATTAATTAATATATTTTAAAATAATATTGTTATGACGAATCGGTAAGTGAGTTTTCACTTTGATTCACCCTAACGATATAGGGTTGGGAGAGACTGAGATAATAAAAGGTAAAGAGAGGGGAATTAGACTATAACTTTCAATAATAACAAAGATTTCTAAGGCCTGTGCCAATATCTACGG